CCCAGATTACTGACACGATTTATACCCGCGGCCCTTCGAAAATAAACTTGACCGCCCCCACTTCAGCCTTCCGCTGTCCGCCAATCCTGAGCCTCGCCGAGCGGCCTTGGAAATATGCAACATTGCGGCCCAATATTGCATCCGTGCCAACATAAATCAAAAGCCTAATTTGCTTCCTTTTTTTGTAGATTTTTTTGTTTTGTTGTCGTTGTTTTCGACGACCAGCCGGCATGCGCTGCCGCTGCGTTCACAGTGCCATTCGACAAACCGGTTCGCAAATTAATTATTATCGTCCTTTATGCACTCGGTATGGAGAGACTGCGGGGACCCCAGACCCTCCAGACCCCGCGGTGGGAGCGTCGCCCCGGCCCTTTCGTCGTGCTGGCCGCGGGGCAGGACGGGGCAAGACCTCACGTAAACCACAGCACAGTGGGCCAGAAGACCGGTGGAGACGGTCAAAACTCTGGACGCGTTTTGAGCTCCAGAGTCGCTAAATGGGACTCGAACCGAACGTGTGACCCGACCTATGGATTGCTCTTCGAACGAGGAATCCATTGGTGGGGTCACACGTTCGCTTTGCCAATGTGCCCAATATCTCCATAGGAAAATATGCTTTAAAGTTTTGGTTATTTTTAACGCGGGCAAAAGGCGTGGCCCGGACCTGAAAATTTTGCGAAATCGCAAGTATTGGTGTGATGACGCACTTCACCGTGTAAGGGACGCCGTAACAGACGGCGGTGTGATACGTGCCCACCCTCGGGGCGAGTCTCACACACGCACACAGACACACACACACACGGACACACACATGGACACGCACGCGGATGACCTCACAAGCTAAATAGCTCTTGCTTTCACTATGGACCGCAGGCCGCACAGGGCGGGTACCGTGGCGGGTACCAGGCAGGCTCCATTCGCACTGACGGGACCGGGCGGCACCGCCTGGCCGAGCCGAGCCTAGCCGAGCCGGCCGGGTGGAGGACCGCCTGCCGTACGTGGAGAAGGCGTACCGCAATGGCGTACCCGCACAGGGCGTACCCGCACAGGGCGTACCCGCACAGGGCGTACCCGCACAGGGCGTACCCGCACAGGGCGTACCCGCACAGGGCGTACCCGCACAGGGCGTACCCGCACAGGGCGTACCCGCACAGGGCGTACCCGCACAGGGCGTACCCGCACAGGGCGTACCCGCACAGGGCGTACCCGCACAGGGCGTACCCGCACAGGGCGTACCCGCACAGGGCGTACCCGCACAGGGCGTACCCGCACAGGGCGTACCCGCACAGGGCGTACCCGCACAGGGCGTACCCGCACAGGGCGTACCCGCACAGGGCGTACCCGCACAGGGCGTACCCGCACAGGTACCCGCACAGGGCGTACCCGCACAGGGCGTACCCGCACAGGGCGTACCCGCACAGGGCGTACCCGCACAGGGCGTACCCGCACAGGGCGTACCCGCACAGGGCGTACCCGCACAGGGCGTTCCAGCCCGAAGGCGTTCCCACGGCGTACCAGCCTTTGGCGTACCAAACCACAAGAGGGCGTACTGACAGGAACACGTTTGCCAAAGCTGCTTCAGTCCCTTAAAACGAAGTGAAATATCAAACAGAAATTAAACACCTCAAGACCGCCAGACTTCAATTCCTCGCTGGCTATACGAATTGAGCGCGAGAGGGTACAGGCGAGCGAGCGCGGACTGCAGCGGCGCGACTCCCAGCGCGTAACTCGTGCGACAAGGTTGCAATGAGGCAAACCCACAGGCAAACTGCCATAACTTCCACGCGCGGGTCAACCCGGCGAGCATTCCGCGCTCGGCTCCGCGCTCACAGTGGGCCAGAAGGCCGGCGGAGGCGGCCAAAACTCTACCCGCGTTTTGAGCTCCAGAGTCGCTAAATGCGACTCGAACCGAACGTGTGACCCCACCAATAGATTGCTCTCCGAACGAGCAATCCGTTGGTGGGGTCACACGCTCGGTTCGAGTCCTGTTTGGCGACTCTGGAGCGCAAAACACGTCTGGGATTTCGACCGCCTCCGCCGGTCTTCTGGCCCACTGCGCGCAGCGGCTCCGAGCGCGACCAGACTCTTTGCGAACTTTCTCCGTCTTACCATACGGGACGCCGCCCCTTGCCGCCCACGCCCCGAGAGCCACATTATTAATTAGCAGTTCCGGCAATCAAGGGCCACTTTGGGAAGCGGGGTCAGGCCGGCCGAACATTTGCCGAGTCAGTAGACCCGACTTTCAGTGTCATATTTACTAAAATTAAAAACTGACAATCTTTTTTCGAAACGGCGATGACTTAGTGTTTTTGGTCACACGTACAGTATGTTTCCATCCATGGCGAAAGATGCGTGCTCAGCTTAGAAGAAATCTTTTTTTTTCTCGTTTAGAAGACGAAACAAATCGAAATACCCGGCCTTTCCCGACAGTGCAGTCGACCGCCTCGGCCGATTAGAGGAAATAAATTCGGCCAGCCACTCAGCATGCGTAACCAAACCTTCGCGCCGATCCCCACGACACCGTAAATTGAAAGGAAAGAAAAAGGTTCAAGAATGGGTTTGGCACTGTTAAAAAAATTCCTGGAAATTCCCGAAAAAGTTGACCCCGATATTCGGAACATTTCAAAACCTCACAGGTTTCTATTTCGCTTGAATGAGTTTCCAGCAGAGTTCCGAAAAATCGCGTTGAAAGACGAAGACTGACGGAAACTCCCGAAGAAGCTTCGGAACGCACTTTCGCGGGATGTTCCAATTTATTTTTAACAGTGTGATAAATGCACGCCGGGTAATATTGTTATCCGAAAGAAAACCGCCAGTGTGGTGCCCAGGCTCGCCATCCATCAACAATACAAATGACAACAGAGAGAGAAGGACAACCGCGCGATGAGCGCAGTTCTGCAAACAGCTCTACATTTCCAGGCGCGCCGAAGGCTCGGCCGAAGGCGCCATTTTCGAAACTCGAAACACGCGACGGACAGTTGGAAGACTTATGTGCAGCCTAAGTCGGCCCCAGTTTGTGTGTGTCTGTGTGCGTGACAGAGAGAGAGAGAGAGAGAGAGAGAGAGAGAGAGAGAGAGAGAGAGAGAGAGAGAGAGAGAGAGAGAGAGAGAGAGAGAGAGAGAGAGAGAGAGAGAGAGAGAGAGAGAGAGAGAGCATGTGTGCGATGAAAGCGTGCGTTCCGCGCAGTGTACCCGCGACGCCGTGAGGTCGGGCTGCGTCCGCGGCGACGCCCGCTTGTCACCAGCTCTGGCACACTGTAGTGGCCCAGTGTGCCCGCTACCGGCGGCCGCGCCTCGCATGCAGCCCCCCCACGGCCCCCTCGGCCCACCGTGACAGAGTAATGTCATCGGGATAAGAAAGAACCTGATAGGAACGCAAACGCCGAACAAGCCGGCACACTGGTCAAGAGCGCCTACGCGCCGTCTTCCTGAGGCGTATGGAAAATAAATAAAAACAAATAGAAGGGGAGATGGCGCGGAAAAGACAAGACTTTGTTGATGCGATCGAACCTCAGATTAGCTGTCATCGTGCGAGTACAAGTCGTGGCTACCAGATTTAGATTGTGGGTACCGGGTTTTCGATTGCAGCTATCGAATAGGGCCTATCGAAGCGAGTCGATCGCACCACAACAAAGTCTTTTTTTCCCGTGTGGGGCGGGACGGCCGCGCAGTGGGCTGGAGGCGGCCAAAACTCTAGACGCGTTTTGAGCTCCAGAGTCGCTAAACAGGCCTCGAACGGAACGTGTGACCCCACCAATGGATTGCTCTCCGCACGAGGAATTCATTGGTGTGACTCACACGTTCGGTTCGAGTCCTATTCAGCGACTCTGGAGCTCAAAACGCATCTCGAGTTTTGTCCGCCTCCACCGGTCTTCTGGCCCACCGTGGGCCGGTTCGGCGGTGTGACACCTGCACCGCCGCGGGGCCGGCCGCACGGCGAGGCATGAACGCCGAGGCACGAAAACAACAAAAACAACAAAAGCGAGGAGCGGAGGAAGCATTCGAGTGAAGCCGAGCCGCCGTGATCTGGAGCAGCGGGTCAGGCAGCCAGATCACTGTCAGATGCCTGTCATACTGTCGTCTCGGCCCGGGGCCCCGGGGGGACTCCACAGACTCCACCTCCACCTCGCCGGGCGCGGCGGATCGCAGCCAGACATCAGTCCGATCTCAGACGGACTCGGATCTCGAATCCAATCCATTCCGAAGCGACTGGTTCGAGTAATCGAATCGGCACTCGAACCAAGGGTGTTCGGCTCCGGAGAGTCTTTTTGCTCAGTTTTAGAAGTTTTTTACTTGTCTACATGTTACATACGTATACACATTCTTACTGAGCTGGACTAATTTTTACCGCAGGCCTGAAGTAGGTTTGATTTATTTCGGAAAACGCCGGGAGGGTAGGCCACTCCAGCGTTGCGACGCGCGGCAGTGTGGCGGGCTTGCCTATCTCACAGGCGGTAGAGCCCGGCCGGTGGAGGCGGCCAAAACTCTACGCGCGTTTTGAGCTCCAGAGTCACCAAATGGGACTGGAACCGAACGTGTGACCCCACCAATGGATAGTTCTCCGAACGAGGAATCGATTGGTGGGGTCACACGTTCGGTTCGAGTCCCATTTAGCGACTCTGGAGCTCAAAACGCGTTTGGAGTTTTGGCCGCCTCCACCGGTCTTCTGCGCCACTGTGCTCCGCCCGGGCCAAGCCTCCAGCGATCCCCTCGAAGACTTCCAGCAGGCCAAGGACTCCCTCTAAAGGCCCCTAAGAGCACATGATCGCGGTCAACTACTTGCACGCAAGTTTGGAACTTTAACCGATGCCGCGGTGCCCACGGTGCAATGGGGTCAGGCGTGCAGGGCCCGGCGGCAAGGTGACTAAGGGGCTTTCGGAAAAGTGGGACGATGGACCCAGATGTAAGGGCGACCCCCCACACTGTGAAAGATGCCTTCGTCACGAGACACCAATTTCAAGAGTCAAGTCTTTGCAGAGGCACGCGGTCGCAAGCGGTACTCACAGTTTGGTGAGGGTGGCGGGCAGCGGCGACGGCACGAAGGTGAAGGAGGCGCCCCTGCACACCAGCTCCTTGCGCTCCGACAGGCACTGGCACAGTTCCGGCCTCGGCCGCGGCCCCGTCGGCGGCCCCGTCGGGGGCGGCGCCGTCCCCGGGGGCGGCGCGTCGGAGGCAGTAGACGCGTCGGGGGCGGCCGCCTCGCCGGGGGTGGGCGTGGCGTCCGGCAGCGCGTTGGTCCAGGACGGCGAGGACGGCGCCGGCGGCCGCAAGTCCAGGGGGAGGCACTGACCCGGCGACACCGGGGCGGCCGTCGAGGCCGCGAACGGCGCCGCGGAGGCCGGCGGGTCGGCGGCCGGCGGCGCGTTGGAGGAAGATGCCGCCGGCAGCGACGGCAGCGTCGACGCGCACGTGAGCAGACTCAGCAGCAGCAGCAGGCCGCACGCGCCGCACACGCCCGCCCGGCCCTGGAGGCCGTGGAGGCCGTGGAGGCCCTGGGCGCGCCGAGCCATGGCGAGTCAGCTGGCTCTACCTGGCCACGGCCTCGTCCTCCGTGACGGACTCTGTGACGGACTCCGTCCCCACTCGGCGGCACTGGCGGGCCGCGCGCCCTTTCCTGCGCCTCCTCGGCATAGCACGGCGTCCGAGGCCGAGGCCCGGGGGTCGACGGGGTGCTGCTGACGGCGGCCTCGGCCTTGGCGACCAGCTGGCGGCACACTTGGAAACGCGGCCACGCGGCCACCGACGACGTCTACTGGATGGCCAAACGTCCGGACGCACAAAAACGGCGTCGCTGGAGAGTTCCAGCAACTAGTTCACCTGGAACACGACGAGCGTCCCGTTGAAACTCGGGCCGCCCCGCCCCGCCCCGCCCCGCCCGACTCGTTGCGTTGGCCGGGCCGGCCGGCCGAGCGGTGATCCCGGTTGCATAAGGCGTAAGGCCTTTGCCATAAGACAGTGCCAAGCCATGGCCGCGGCTGCCGCGGCATGGCCAAGGGTGTTGTGCCGGCAAGGATACCCTGCCGAAAACGCGGCGCCGTGGCGCACCGCAGGTCCGAAACTCGGAATTTCTGGGTTCGATCCCCGGCGTCGCTTGTAAAATTCAAGTTTGAAATGGGGGCGAGACTGGATTGGCGCGTAGAACCACCGGGTGTGGGCTCTGGGGACCGGGTTCAACTACCGGGCCACTTAAGTTTGTCCACGGCCAGGAGCAGGGCCAGGCTACGCGCTACGCCAGGCTAAAGCCTTGGCCAACGGCAGCCGCGCGAAGATTCGCCCTAATTGTTGTCCCGCCGAAAACTTAACGGGCCCGCCTCGCCAGGCGTCGCCAGGCGTCGCCGCTGGGCACCACTGGGGCAGCGGCCAATTGACAAAGGCCAGAGGCAATCGCAATCGCAATCCCAATCGCTAGTGCGACTGACCTCGCCTTTCCTTTAATTAATAAATCGGGTCGGGAAAAAGCAGCGACTGCCTGGCGGCGTCGCTCTGCCTCGGGATTGCTCTCCGAACGAGCAATCCATTGGTGGGGTCACACGTTCCGTTCGAGTCCCGTTCAGCGACTCTGGAGCTCAAAACGCGTCTAGAGTTTTGGCCGCCTCCACCGGTCTTCCGGCCCACTGTGCGGCGACGGCGGCGCGAGGGAGACAGAGACAAGCGGAACAGGGGAAAGGGCTCGGGCCGGGCTTCGGCTTCCAGTCCACTGTAAGACTCCGCGGCGGAGTGCTCCGGATCGGCCGTTACGCGCCGCGCCGGGCAGCCTGGCCCAGCCTGGCCGAGCCGAACGGGGCTCAGGTGGTCGCGAGCCGGTCACACACACACACGCACACACAGAGTGACTCACACACGATCTCACACACACACACACACGCCGCACCATCTGGAGAAGGATGACGGAGCGGCTCGCGATGCGATTCTCCAGCGGTCCGTTAACGCGGCCCAGATGTCGGGGCCCCGTCCCGTCACGTCCCGTCACGTCCGGTCACGCCGCGATGGAGTTGCGTCACGGCCGTCACGTCGCGGCACGTCGCGGCACGTCGCGGCACGTCACTATCGGGCCGGCCTGGGCATTCCCTCCGTTTTGGCGGGCAGGCTGTCCGGCAGGCTGGGCGGCGCGCGCCGACCTGGCGACACTTGTCGGAAGACGCGGCCAAAGCCAATCGCCTCTTGCGACACCACCACACTGTTAGACGCACTTCGGCACTGCGGGTGGACACTGTTGTTGTTGTTGACAGTCGCACTAACCCCACTTAAGCACTCACAAGTCACACACACAAGCACTAACACATTGCACAGGCACGGGCACGGGTCACTGGAGTTGGCGAAACGACACAGCTCGCGGACCGCGAAGGCACACTGGACTTTGGCGACGGCACACTGCGGTGATCGGACGCGGACTCGCGGTCTCGCCGCGGCGCCAGAGGCCGCGGGTTGGCGCTGTTTGGCTGGCGTGCGTCGGCCGCCCCTGCGCCCCTTCGACCGCCGGCTAGCAGAGCCAACGAACTTATGATAGCATCGCGGGGCCCCCGGCCCGAGCCGAGCCGAGCCGAGCGGAGCCGAGCGAGCGCGGCCGAGGCGGCCCGAGAGCCGAGCCGAGCCCCGGCCGGTCGGGAGGTGGGGGTGGTACCGCGCCGCTCGGCCCTCTCGGCTCCGCGCCGTGCCGCGTTCGGCTGCCTTCCCTCTACCGAGTACCGAGTACGCCCCCTGTCGCACAGTGGGCCAGAAGACCGGTGGAGGTGGACAAAACTCTAGACGCGTTTTGAGCTCCAGAGTCGCGAAATATTATGTTTATGTCAGTTTTGAATTAACACAAAAAATAATTTTTAATATACTTTAATTTATCAAAGAGTCAGCACATGTTCACAATAAGAAAACTAGAATGAACAAGAAACCAATATTGACAATGGGAGGAGAGAAGTAAAGGAGGGAGAATTTGAGTCAGATCCATTACATGAGGAAACCTTTGCACCCACCTTGATTGAGAAACCCTACATATGGTAATATTTTCAGACAATAAATCTACACAATTGGTAGGAACTTCACAATTGACTAAAGACAGGTAAAGTGGTAAAAGTTAAAAATATGAAAATAAAGGACTCATCATTTAAGTACAGATTTCTATAAGTTTGTCAAAATATTCATACAGAAGTAAATCATCTAAAAGTACATACACCTTGATACATACACTATGACTGGTCACACACAAATTGTTGTGCGCTAGATTCTTAAAAAATGTCTTGAAAGAAGCATTGCAGTTAAAACCTGGAATGGCAAATACTAGGCTAATCACAAAGAAAAAAGTTGAGCCTTTAAAACACTGCTCACACAAAACTTCCCAAATTAGGAATAAATCCTTCAGATCTTCAAAGCACTTTGGTACTTCACTTAAAAAGAAAAGAGACAACAAGAAAAATAATACGGTAATGAGCAGAACTTGATGGTTCAATTTTGAGTAGTTTAAAAAATTAATTGAGTACTCAAACTGCAAAACTTACATATAAACATTTGAAGAAATGCAGCATTTTCAGTTCAATATTCCAGTTTCAAATACCTAAGGCACATTTGTTCAACAACTTCTGCCTTCACAACCTCAACTCAACAGTCTTAAAAGTTACAAAAAAAAAAAAATTGTAATGCTAATTAATGCAATGTTATGATTTATTATAATGTAATGGCAATAGTTTGTGCAGATGGCTCTAGTTATGAGCAACACGATAGAAGAACTAGAGGGTAACAAGTCTCCAAATACAGCTGCTCAGACATGAGTGTGCGAGATTCCAGAATCACATAAATCAAGGCAAGGCTTGAAATAAAAATCTACAGAAAATAGAAGTACTAAATGCACATGCTCCAAGGTATAGCAAAAGTAATTATAATGGGGCAAGAAACATGTTGCAATGGTCACAATAAAAAGATATGGTCAAGTAAACACATCCAACAAGCTAAATATCTAGGAGTGCAGTTAGTTCATGGCATATGAAGTAACAATACGATAGATACCAATGGTTATCATAATTTTCCTTAAAATAATGGACGGAGTAGGCAGTGAACAAGGCTCAACATTTAAAAACATCACATCAACTCTCACCCCTGAAGGCTCGTCTCAAGTTCAGATGAATACTGCTCATACCGGAAACCCGGAACAACACTCCAGTCAAGATGAGTCTGCGGCAGACACCAAAGTGTTAATGGTTGAGTTCCAAGATGAAACCACACCCTTAGCATTAAGGAAGTGTGCTACATGTACCACTTGTATCAAAAAATGCCAATTTACCTCACTATCATTTATCAGCTCGCAGAGAGAGGCAGTTATCTCTGAAAAGTCCGGTCGTTCGTCCAGGTCAAGCTGCCAACATTGCAGCATCAACTGATACAGATCGTCAGACACGTGAGCAAGGTGCGGAGGTCTTAGTCCTCGCATGACGCGAGATGCAACTTCCGCGGTGGGAATGTTCTGATAAAGTGTTCCGCCTGAGAAAATTTGAAAACCAGTAAGAAAACTACAAGTTCAACATTATTTTTAATCAAAATAAAAGGAGTATTACCCAGAGCAGCCATTTCCCACAGCAAACAGCCCATTGCCCACACATCACTTTTAACTGTAAAGTGCTGGCTGCGGAAAATTTCTCTTGCCGTCCACCGAGTGAAATCAGCGATCTAGAAAATAAGAAAAGGGTAAAACTAAAGGAGTAGTTACAGGGTACTACAAATATGGCAAATACTTCTTGGTGACTCACGGTATTAGGTCTATTGCACTTAGCAATGCCAAAGTTAGAGATCTTTGGGACCATGCCATCTGCCATCAGGACACTACACGCAGCTAACTGTTTGTGAATCACTTTGTTACTGGCTAGATGGGCCATGCCCTGGCTAATCCCAATACCAATTTGTAAAAAGGCCTGTTGTGGAAGTGAGCATACAGAAGAGAGATCTCTTTCAAATCCCTGGCCTGGTCTCTCTAAAGTCCTGCTCTCTAGTAGAATATCCTTTAAAGTAGCAGGATGGTGTTCCAGAACAACATACAGCATATCTGGGGTCTCACAGGTGCCAATCAATCGAATAACATTGGCATGGTTGGCAGTCCCACAATTAATTAAAGTAGCAAGTTCCTTCAACATGCTGCGTTTGGTAGTAGAAGAGAGAGCACCATCTAATACAAAAATGAGCAGAAAATTATTATTACAAACACTAAAAAATTTGGAGGGACCATCCTTACACTACAAAAGATCCTACAACAGAGCATTTTGAACAAAGCATGGACATTTTGAAGAAGAAATGAATCAGCTTACCTTCAATGCACTGAACAGAGGTTGGTGTTGGGTAACTATTTTGAAGAACAGTACCCTTCATAAATGGGCCGAATTCCCCACTGCCCAAAAGGACATCCTTAATATCCAGAAAATTGCGTGGGATGTCCCATAAAACCTTCTTTAAACGGTCATAATGGTCAACACGGTTCTCCTCTTCCTCCGGTAAGTAGCCATAATTTTCCTGCATATTAAAATTGCAATAAATACATGTATAATAACATTAACAACTCTAATATATTTTTGAATTTGCCAGAGCCAACGGGCTACCATACCACTTCTATCATGGGTCCCTGCAGGGACATTTCTTGTGGGTCCTCCATCCTTGAGGCTCCTCGGCGCTGGGGGGCGAAGTGTCTCGCAGCAAAGTAAGCGATAACGACTAAGACCAGCAAAACACTGCATACAACAATTGCAACAATGAGTCCACTCTCCAGGCCCTCTTCCTTCAAAGGTTCTGATGTTCGTCGAATAACAAGAACATTTTCATAGTCCATGTTGCTATTGGAATAGGAAATGAGTGTTTGGTTTCCACGAGAGCTCACTGCACCAATGATTATCAAAACGTCCTCTGGTCTACATTCATCGCCAAATTTGAGGCGGACATTATCAAAACCCCCATAGCGCAGTCCATCTCCAACCGTGAAGTTTCTCATCCACGCCTACACAAAACAGAAAGCTTCTTAATACATGAGCTACCTTAGATAACTCCAAAATTCTGAGGGGGTTTCAACATTTCTTACGTCAGCATCCAACTGCGCAGCAACATAATATGTAATCCCTTTCTTCACTGCATCGTAATAATTAGGCATGATATTTTCATTTAGCTGAGCAATGCTACAGGTCACTATGACTCTGTATCCAGTGATTGGCCCATTGTCAGACGAAGCTTCCGAAAATTGAATCACTATTCGACCATCTGGGACAAGCTTCATCAGAATTTTAGGTTGGCCTGGTTGTAATGGGTCTGAAACAATGAAAAGAAAAATAAGCAATATTCAACCATAGGCCTTAACATAATTGATGCACGTCTAAGAAACTTACATCCAATGTGTGTCTCAACAAAGAGTTGCGCAGGGACACTTTCACCCTGATCAGAGACCGCTTGTACGCTCACACGATACTCTGAGCCGGGATGCAGATCAAGGACATCTGCGCTTCTCACATCGGATGTGTACGTCCATGACATTTGGGGTGGCAACTGCATTGCACTGAAGGTCTTGGTAAGTTCCGCAGTCACAGTGTAGGAGCGAATGACACCATTTGACGCCGTGGGTGGGCCCCAGGAAACATGAAACTGGGTTTCAGTCACATCATTTACCATCAACCCAACAGGGGGGCCAGGAACTGAAAACAGAGACGTGTTAAGGCAAACGAAGACAACGAATCATAAGGCCCAAGCATACTTGCAGTGAATTACCTTTCTGACCCGTGTCATACACACTGCTGGCAAAGGCACCGCCACATATTTGACTCGAGTTCCTCCGACATGGTTTGTCACATTGGTGTTCGTCAGCCTCTCCGAAGGAACCAAATTTGCTGCCGCAAGCGCATTGCTCACCATTCCTCAGAGCAGCATACCTGGAAGCAAAAATGTACCGCCTTGTGTAAGCAATAAGAGCCTGATGGAAGCAGTTCAAGGTGATTGAAGGCAGGAACAGAACAGTAGCCTAGAGGGAGTCATGCAGGTACCATGAACTAACTACCATCAATAAAGTAATACCTGAAAAAGTTTTTCAGACACTCTTGCACGCAGGCACCCACATATTCACCAGCATCACTCTTGGGAGAAAGAAATGAAAAATCAGTTCTGTCACTGCTGTCTTTGTAACAGCCTAAAGGTGTTGAGGAGGCCTCTTGGCCATATGCAGAATTCAGAACCAAACTAAAGAAGGTAGTCCAACAAATAAAAGAAAAAGGCCTTTTCTCCATTTTAAGGTGCGTTCAAGGACACTAATGAGTCAAAACGCATGATTGTTTTTCGAAAATCAGCTTGATGGACGGAACGATAACCTCTCAGTGAATCACAATAAACAACGCCCCGGTGACGATTTGAATTAATGACTCCGTTGGCAGCGTATGAGAAATTCTTGTTCACAAACACTAGCGGTCCAACATACTGGACAAACAAGTCTCTTTTCAACCAGTGATTTGTCACTTCCCGCTTTAAAAGTGATAAATGGTAACAATCAACAGACCTAAAATCAATACCCATCGGACTTAAGTTGAAGTCAAAAGTCCATTTTATGCAAAACGTTCATCTCGAACTTTGTCGGTAGGTTGGCAACAGCTGGTCCATTCATGGTTCCGTTTCCATGGTGATTCACGCGACGAGACGAGGCCGCGCATTCAAACCGCTACGTCACAAAGAGAACTGTCGCGGACCTGTCAAGCTGGAAGTGGAACCCGTGGTAAGGCTAAAATGATTCGTTGCCAGAAGCCAGACGACCGGTGCCTTTCCGCTCGACAAATCTGCTGTTTTCTGAGAGACTTCGTCGGGAAGCAGTCGGATGCCGATACGCCCCGCCGGTCAGACGGGTCAGGCGAGGAGTATCTTCGCCGCGTCCTTGCAACCCTGGAGGCTGGGGAGTATCGTCACGGACCAGCAAGCAGACTGATTCCGAGAGTCGTTCGTCGCTCTGTCTCTCTCTCACACTTGCGGACTACCCTATACGCACGAGAGGGACAGGGGAGGCGACAAAACGTACCTCGGAACGTGCGGCGATACCCGTCCGCATTTTCGAAGACATTATAATCCCTTGACTCAGGCCACCAGGCTCAGTAAGGAGGCGACCGACAGAATGCCTAAAAGTATTTGCACGAAAGTTCTTGTGCAAAATTCAACCATATGGATTTACTCCGAAGTTGGGGCCCAAACATAGTCTAGTAGATGTTACGTTAACTTTAGTCGTTTCCCCAATCCCTGGACAAATGATGCTCTCCGAACGAGGAATCCATTGGTGGGTCACACGCTCAGTTCGAGTCCCATTTAGCGACTTGGAGCTCACCCCTTCGTTACCCGTAGGAAGATGGCCCTGGCTGAAGTGTCACGCTTCTGTTAAAATTTAGGCTACCACACTGCATAGACTTCAGGCACGGAAAAATTTATTCGTGTGCTGACACAGACGCAAAGCCATACGATGTATCCTAGCAAAGAGAACAATGACGCGCAGTTTCACTGAAAAGGGAAGAAAACCACGAGGATCCTTCCCCCCGAACGCTCTGCGGGTCCGATTCTTGAAAACCCCCCCCCCAAATCCCGTTGGCGATTGGAGCGTCTCGGATCGCCATCTTTTGTCGCCGTTCAATGTACCGGAAGTGGCGGAATGTGGGGGCTGCCGTTCTGGCGGCGGGTCGCGCCCGCCAGAAAGAATCCCCCTTAAAAGTCCATTCTTTGGACAATTTTTAAGGCGGTACAGTTTATATGTTTCCGGCCGGGCCTCAGATCCAACTAAGGAACGTCATTGGTTGCGGTATCAAGTTCTCTATCAGATAGATTGTAGCTGTTTGTTCTTTTTCTAGTTGCCTTTGTGCAACCCACACAACTGCGCACCAACAGTTTATGTGTAATTTTAAGAACAAGTGGCAAAGGCCACCTAACACATAACATCCCCCTAGGCAGGCAGAACGCCTACCCCAACAGAACGCCTTTGCCCACAGAACGCCTTTAAGCGCTCACAATTTACATCCACCGACAAGAGAAAATGGCAAGGGCCATATATTCCCCTGAAGATTCTCCTTGTCTCTTTTTTTATTTTTGAATGACCGCAGAATAAGGTCTTTAATTTCGTTTGATCTATCGCTTGGCATCATAAACTTTTGTGAAATGAATATTAGTCTACAAGAAAAACACAAGACACTGTGATACATGTGCCAGTGTTAGATGTTTGATAATGTGTATGATAATAAATTTCAATCGTTTTACAGAAACTACTTTGAATGCATAACCAATCAAATTTGGTAAAATATTATTCCATTATTAAGATTAAGATTATGAACGGTGAGATGTGTCAATAGAATGCAGGTTTCATGTACTCATTTCCTTCGATTCCACGTTACAATTATGGTGAACGAACAATCATAAGTACAGTTAAAGTGTCAAGTTATCTGAAAGAATGTTATTATTTTTTTGAATTCTGCTTTCTGCTCGAACGACTCTGCGCTTCACTATTGGCAGGATCATGCTATTCACAGTTCAGCTAGTGCGCTCTCGCCTTCGCCATTTCACGCCCGTCGTCTTCTCATTTTCACGTAATGAGTTCAATTTCACGGAAATTAGCGTCAATGTAATCTTTGAACCTTCCTCTTTCCATAAATATACAATTTGTGCCACTTTCGGCGTTCTAACATGCTCAAAGATGCGAGTAAACGACGGCCCGACGATCGTTTTCGCCTTCTCTCGCCTTCGCCATTTCACGCTCCGTCGTCTCCTCATTTTCACATAAAGAGTTTATTTTTGTCAAAATTAGCGTCAATGTAATCTTTGAACCTTCCTCTTTCCATAAATATACAATTTGTGCCACTTTCGGCGTTCTAACATGCTCAAAGATGCGAGTAAACGACGGCCCGACGATCGTTTTCGCCTTCTCTCGCCTTCGCCATTTCACGCTCCGTCGTCTCCTCATTTTCACATAAAGAGTTTATTTTCGTCAAAATTAGCGTCAATGTAATCTTTGAACCTTCCTCTTTCCATTAATATACAATTTGTGCCACTTTCGGCGTTCTAACATGCTCAAAGATGCGAGTAAACGACGGCCCGACGATCGTTTTCGCCTTCTCTCGCCTTCGCCATTTCACGCTCCGTCGTCTCCTCATTTTCACATAAAGAGTTTATTTTCGTCAAAATTAGCGTCAATGTAATCTTTGAACCTTCCTCTTTCCATTAATATACAATTTGTGCCACTTTCGGCGTTCTAACATGCTCAAAGATGCGAGTAAACGACGGCCCGACGATCGTTTTCGCCTTCTCTCGCCTTCGCCATTTCACGCCCGTCGTCTTCTCATTTTCACATTAAGAGTTTATTTTCGTCCAAATTAGCGTCAATGTAATCTTTGAACTTTCCCCTTTCCATGCATATACATTTTATGCTACTTTCGTGGTTTTAACACGCCTAAAGATCGAAAGTAAACTTGACAACCGGCTGGGTCCCGCCAAGTCCCGGCATCTCCACTGGGCTCTGGGCTGTGGGCTGAATGGAGGGCTTCGCCCAGTTAACGTATAAGATAAAGATAAAGATAAAGTTTGGCTCAGCCAAAAATGATTCGTTGCCAGAAGCCAGACGACCGGTGCCTTTCCGCTCAACAAATCTGCTGTTTTCTGAGAGACTTCGTCGGTAAGCAGTCGGATGCCGATACGCCCCGCCGGTCAGACGGGTCAGGCGCGTGGAGTATCTTCGCCGCGTCCTTGGCAACCCTGGAGGCGGGGAGTATCGTCACGGACCAGCAGCAAGCAGACTGATTCCGAGAGTCGTTTTCGTCGCTCTGTCTCTCTCTCACACTTGCGGGACTTACCCTATACGCACGAGAGGGACAGGGCGACGAAAACGACTACCTGAATCGCACAACTCTCGCACGAAGAATAGATCCCCTTGACCCCGCACAGTGGGCCAGAGGACCGACCCGGAGCCGGACATAACGCTAGATGCGTTTTGAGCTCCAGAGTCGCTAAACAGGCCTCGAAGCGAACGTGTGACCCCACCAATGGAATGCTCTCCGAACGAGGAATCCATTGGTGGGGTCACACGCTCAGTTCGAGTCCCATTTAGCGACTCTGGAGCTCACCCCTCTTCGTTACCCGTAGGAAGATGGCCCTGGCTGAAGTGTCACGCTTCCTGTTAAAATTTAGGCTACCACACTGCATAGACTTCAGGCACGGAAAAATTTATTCGTGTGCTGACACAGACGCAAAGCCATACGATGTATCACACTCATCCACATCCGGAGACCAAGACGCGCAGTTTCACTGAAAAGGGAAGAAAACCACGAGGATCCTTCCCCTCCGCGTAGCGCCTCTGCGGGTCCGATTCTTGAAAAGCCCCCCTCCCCCCCTTCCCCCGCTTGGCGATTGGAGCGTCTCGGATCGCCATCTTTTGTCGCCGTTCAATGTACCGGAAGTGGCGGAATGTGGGGGCTGCCGTTCTGGCGGCGGGTCGCGCCCGCCAGAAAGAATCCCCCTTAAAAAGTCCATTTCTTTGGGAATCAATTTTTTAATGGCGGTACACTGTTTTGTCTCGCGGTCCGGCCGCGCGGCCCGTCGAGGTCCATCCATTCCCATCGGGGCTGTCGACTCACAGTGGGCCAGAAGACCGGTGGGGGCGGCCAAAACTCCAGACGCGTTTTGAGCTCCACAGTCGCTGAATGGGACTCGAACCGACCGTGTGACCCCACCAATGGATTCCTCGTTCGGAGAGCAATCCATTGGTAGGGTCACACGTTCGGTTCGAGTCCCATTTAGCGACGCCGGAGCTTAAAACGCGTCTAGAGTTTTGGCCGCCTCCACCGGTCTTCTGGCCCACTGTGCGACTCCCTGGCGGGCTGACTCCGACACAGCGCTCCGTCTCTCTCGCACTCGCAGGGCGTTGCGCGGGAGAGCGAGAGAGACAGAGCGACGAAAGCAGTGTCCTGGACGAGCCTGCCGGCCGCGCCACGCTAGGGTCATTCTTTGGCGGCTTTATCCCGCCTAGCTGTCCCGGGAGACGGGCTGCCTGTCTCTCTCGCACCTTGACGGGACGCCCCATGAGTGCGAGAGAGAGAGAGGGACGACACTCGGAATCAGTCTGCAGGGCGTAGTGCGCAGGGCGCAGGGCGACATCCTGGCGTCCTGGGCGCAACAGCTGCGGGCGAACAGGGACCAGGGAGCAGCCCCAGGACGCCGGGACACCCTAGGACACCCGGGACACGCGGCCGCCGCCAAGCAGTCCCTGGTCACGTAGCGGTGGCGGCGGCGGCAGGACGACGGCTGCAGGCTCCCTCCGAGACAGCGCTCTGTCTCTCTCGCAGCCCTCCGCGGCGGCCCGCGGGTGCGAGAGAGACAGCTGCAGCCCGCAGCGCGGCAGCATGGCGGCAGCGCGC